TATCTTAATAATTGTGAGATACTAATCCAGTTATTTTAATTTTTCCTACTCTTTTACAGGATCACTTAATAAGGACTTACAAAATGATCCAGAAAATTGAAAATCCATCAGAATATGAGAATGATTGCACTTCTGGAGTTGTACCACATACAACACAGGACAATGAACTTCCAAGCACACCGAAAGGGGCGTACCATAACTTAACGCTTCACGTAAGGTCATTGGCAAAATCGCAAAGTGCAAGGAGACCAATCGTAAAACCTGACATCAAACAAAAGCTGGTTAATGTCTGTGTAAAAGAAATGGAACCGTTCGACACAAATGTCCTGGAAGACTGGAGAAAATTTTATCGGAATGAGTGTGAGATGTTGAAGTTAGCGGAGGTTGTATTAGCAGTACCAGCAACACAAGTTTTTGTTGAGCGGGCTTTCAGCGCACTTTCTACAATACTCACTAAGTTACGTACAAAATTGTCAAAAAAATCGTTATCCAATTATTGATAACAAAATTAAATTTTGATATTCTCCACTTCTCTAAATTAGAAATTGAAGAAAATAAATAGATAAAATAATGTGATGTAATAATTTGCTTCATTTTTATATACATATCTGTGTTCATATGGAATAGTAGCTTATGTCGAAAGGTTGGCTTTAGTATAATGCGGCATTCGCAGCATACGATTTATATTTTCCAAAAAAAATCTAAGAGGCTGCTCTGTAATACGATTCGAAAAAGAAATGCGATGCAATAGGCAATTACCACTGTGGGAAGGCTCTTATATTACTTCTACCACTGACGACAATGCATAGCTATATGTATACGTGCAATTATAGCGTAATTCCTTAGAAAAGCGAAGAAACATCTTCCATACAACGCCCTAAAAAGTTTTCAGGATAAGCTGTTGTGAGTGATTCCGAATGGAGCACCCGCATCGTTTACCTCATTTATGTAGGTGCACACCCAAAACTCTTACAAAATAAAATAAATAATAATAAATAAACCACACAACTCCACGTTTAGCGAAATGCAGTTTTAAGAAAAATTCACTACCTGCTACAACTCTAAAATGAACGATATCATGTGCTCTATTTCCGTAAATATTTCTAGAGCATACTAATTATTACTGGAAAATAAACAAAAGGTAGGTAGAAAGCTGCTGCAGTATTGTACCTACATACATACTTCAGGCTAAAAGGCTCACAAGTAAATTTTTTTCGTCTTTGCAAGGTCGTAGTAAAACCAACGCTTAGCTATTATTTGATTATTTTTTTTGCTCATTCTGCGCTACTGTTCAGTAAATACCCTGCAAAAAGTGGGACCATATTAAACCCTAGTACAGGACTACGCTACATTGTAACCAGCGTTGCCAGGTTGACGTTTTTAACGTCATTTGGACGTGTTTTGTATCCTGTTGACGTTTGGACGTTTTTTGTGTAAAAAATTACGTTTTTTAACTTCCCAGTAATTTTTCTCTGTGACTAAATCTCGTACCTAGTACAACTGATTTTGAATTATTTTCTTAATAAATCTTTACAAGCTTTGTGCTTTGCAGCAGCTGCTTCAAAAGATATTTATTCTTTGGGCACAGATGACTTGAATATGATGCATACCAAGCGTACGCGCATTTTTTTTTTATTCTTGGACTAAGGACCTCGTGTTCAAAGGCTGGTTGTGTAAAAACTTGAGGTTACGAGGCCTATTGTTATGTTTGCAATTGCACATTAAAAGCCAAATCAGGAAGAGCTGATCTCTTGCAACACGCACGCTCGCAAAAGCATCAAAAAAGCTGAAGCAGTATAAAGGGTCAGAAAAAAGTAGGCGACTTTTTTAAGACTTCATTGAAAATGTAATGAACACAAACAAGGCTGAAATATTGCTATGCTCCTTCTTACCAGAACGTAATTTACTTACTACCGGACAATACTGTCATGACAATAACAATACATGCACACTTTTTCACTAATACATGCATACTTTTCCATTAGAATAATTTTGACAACTAATACGTATATCTTCATTGTCATGACAGTATTGTCCGGCGTAAACCCAAAGTTAGCATTTTCGACAACCGATGTCCTTACCGAATGTCTACAAGAACAAAAAAAATATTAAAAATCAACGCGATTATTTAGCACCTTTAAACTTGCACATTATTGGACTGAAAATTAATGGGCTATCAAACTGCATACTCAAAAAAATCTAAAAAATCTAAATAAAAAGTTGAAAATCTAGCTGAAGCTTTGCAGATTTTTTATAATTTTTGCGCAAAGTTTGAAATGTGGATTTATATTTTGTTTGTTATATAGTAAGCTTGGCTTCTATGGAAAAATAATAAACATTAAATAAACAAAAGGGAAACAGCCAAAATCGATCAAAATGATGATGACTTAATCAGCTGATGATTTTTATATTAACGATCTCAAACCAGTTTACAAAGAATTTGAAATGTCCTCTGTCAAAATGACAATTTTTTTGGACATTCCTTTGAATAATACGTTTTTGGGTCGGAAATGACGTTTTTTCAGACCAAGAGGGACGTTTTCTCATGCCGAAGACCTGGCAACACTCCCTGCAAAAGTGGGACTAGGTTAAACACTGGTACAGGACCACGAAACCTTGTAACCAACACTAGTAACCAAAATGGTCTAAATATATGGAGAAAACATGGTTACATTAACATTGCGATGTCATTGGACCTGACCACATATGGTCCATCGCAGCATAACATAGGACCACCTACCAAACTACCCTGTTGGAACCATTAGTTACACTGCCTACCTTAGACCATTTTATGAAGTAGACCTATGAGACTATGTTACGTACGTTCCTGTCTGAGTGGATTATACTTTAGATTGGTTACACCAGGCCATGCTTTGGACTATTAACAAGACACCATTTTATAAAGTAGACCAGTGAGTCTATGCAACGATTTGCTTACACCCGACTACTTCTTATCCTTATTGATGCTTTGAAGTAAAAACCAGAGACAATATAAAATTTTGTCCGAAAACAATAAAACTCATACAAAATTAAATAATTTATAAAGTATGTTTCATATCAACAAATTTTTTAATTTATTTTTTAACTATAATGTGTAATGTTTATTAAATAACTAAATAATTTTTATTCACTGATTTTTAACAACAACGGTTTAAAAAGATTTTAATTTAATTTTAAAAGTATAAACTACTTACTTAAAATATCTGAAATACTTTGAATTAATTTTTATGCCATTACTTTTAATCTTTGTTTTGTTTAACAAGGCGTTTTAAATGCCTTTTTGAGCAATGCATTTTTATATTTTCACTTAGCACAGAGAACACGATTTAGTTATAATATATTTAACAAAATTTTCACTTTAATTTGTGTGTATCACGAAATATTTCTGGAAGGCAAAAAAAACACCTCAAATTTATTGCAAATTTTACTTACAGTAATGTTAACTTTACAAGAATTTCCCTTTTGTACAGAAAGTGTGTGTTCTGTACGGATGGAGGGAAAAAACTAAAAAAAAGAGTTCACTTTAGACCCGAATTTATTTTTACCAGGAATATGCTCCAGTTAAAGTAAAATCAGAAATATTATGAAAAAAACAAAAAGCTTTTTTTAATAAATAATGTACTACTTGGTAAGAACCCTTCGTAGCAGCTGTAAACGTTTATTATAATATCCATCTGAACGAAACTTATAACTAAATTTATTTTTGGAATTTAATTACAAGCAGCTATAATTAAAAATGCGTTTCAAATTGCTCATTATGTATTTGTGCAGGGAAGTTTTTTTAACACGAAATCTATGCATTCAACTTGCCGACAGTTAGTCTGTTCCCGTACTGCAGGATTTAATCAGAAATAGTCCGAGGTCGTTCCCTGCAATAAGTGTAGAATATCAACAGTCTTGCTATGCGAAAACCAAAAATTTGGCTCGATAGAACTTTTTGCGCTGATTTCAACCCTACCAAAACTATTTGGCGGAAGTAAAAAATAAAGAAGATATCAATGGTTATAGTTAATTTTTTTGATTTTTTTAACCTACTTCCAAAAAAGGAAGAGGTTATCAGTTGGTCGGAATATTTCTTTTGTTTTAATTTTTTTTAATGTTACCGCATAACTTTAGACCACGTCAACCAATTTCGATAATTCTTTTTGCATCGGAAAGGTAGTGTCTCAGAGGCGGTCCCATACTAATCCGGTTTAGATCCGATCACTAGATCATGAAATATATATAAATATTTTTTTTTCATATGAGAATTGAAGTCGGTTATATTTTTTGCTTAAAAATTACTTGTTAAATAATAATATTTTCTGAACAATATAAGCTATTAAAAAACTAATGACGTCATAATAAAGGTAATTAGGGGGTACTTGACTTGGTGTACATAATTTTTTTCCTTTTTTTATATTTTTCAGCCAGAAATACCTAAGAACCAAAAAATATATAAATTAATTTTTTAAAATGGCGTTTATTTAAAATTTGTTTTCAAAAAGGTTATACTGTATACGTCCCGGAAAAGGTATTTAAATTATTTTTAAATTAGCATTAATACGTTTGTGATCGGTCAAATAATTTCCGAGATATTTTAAATATAAAAAATATAAAAGTTAAACCTTAACCTCTTTTATTGGCTTTAGTTTTTATTTGACCAAATAATCTTGGTATGATTTATATCAGCATGAAAAGTTCTATTTAGCAATTTTTTTTTTTATTTCTTTAAGGCTAAACTGTTGGTATTCTACACCACGGCTACTTCGGACTATTTCTGTCTAAACCCTGGAGTACGGGAACAGGCTAAATGAGAATAAGAAAAAGTAAACAAACAAATGTGTTGACAGTTGTTCATAAACTAAAAACGTTAAACTCGAGTTAAAATTTCAACGAAGCGAAACTTTTGAGCATGGTTCCGAGGAAAAAACAAATTTTTTTTCTGAATCACCCTAATGAATACATATGTGCTTCAGTTAGTGTGCGGCTATACTGAATGCGAATTCGTTTGAATATTCACTCAACAAATAAGCACTATTCCTTACGAACATGTGAAATGTGTTGCTGCTGTGCATGCGTTGTTTTGTAGCTCCGTTGCATCAGAATCTAGCTAGCATTAGCACCCCATTTTCCTTTTTAAATATTTACATCTGGCCATGCTGCCAAACGAATCTAATTTCCGATTATTCCCGAAAGAGCTCTAGCTCGCCGATTGTTTAAATCTCCTGAT